TTCGCTATTTTTTGAGAGCTAGAAGAGAGCTTAATATTAAAAAACCTACGGGAGTTTACGCCGGTTGCGCGGGGACCGCCTTTGCGAACTAGTGCTAATAATTTTATGCTAATAAGTAACTGAAACTTTTGTAGGTAAAAAACTTGAATTTTGTCTTTTATTATTATAAACTTGTCATACAAAAGTTGTCATCTTAATATCCCTACATTGCTATGGTTTTTGAGTGCCATGCTATTATAGCCGCTTATTGTTCAGGTGCCATGCCATAAATAGCGCTATACTTATTATTTCCCTTCTGGTAAAAAGAATTAGTTATTTTTTTACAAAAATGAGCCTTTTACAAAATAATGTGTATTTATTTTAGCCTAAAAATGTCGTAAAAACATCCTATCGTCATAAAATTTCAACAGGTTTTGTTCACTGGTCATTGTCTGACCCCTTGTTCCTTTTGGTACAAAAGCATGGATGATCATTATGGTTTTGTTTCATATCCGTAAAAGAAATACGGGTGACGGTAGAGTGTTCATTTGTTCCTGTAAATTATTAGTCTGGGACGTTATTTTAATTTAGTCAATGTGGAAACGAAAAGTTCATTGAGTTGAGTTTGAGTGATCCAGTGAGGTTGCAGTCGGTGGTAGTCTGTCCAAAAATCCTATACTCCTTACCAGGTGTAAAGGTCCATAAAATATTCGACCCTACAAACCCGTAACTGTATAGAGGATGAGACCTTTTTTGGAGAGCGAACCATACTAAACGACCCTGTGGTCACCAGCGGTGCAATTGGCGTATAAAATAAATTGTTCACTGCCTTTTTATACTTTCGTCAGCACAGTAGAAACTGTCCTAACTTGTTTGAGCCCTTGTCCGCGGTGCAAAGGGGCGTCGGTCCGAGACCACAATCTACGGCACAATACGTACGGGAAGGTTTTCCTTTACTATATCAAAGGGTTTGGCATGAAACGGCATGTCTAGTTGATGTACAGAAGCCCTCCAAGACGAATGCGACACGCGCAGGGCGCTCCACCGTACGTCGAGTGTCACGCCGTATCTGTGGGGGGGCAACCTGTCAAGTGCCGCTCGTATACCGAGATAGCACTTTTTGACAAGTCTGGGGCTGGAACAATTATTCCCTAGGTGCCCATTACACACTAACCACTGACCCTACGGAACAAACAGGTTCACCTTTACACCTGCCTGGGTACCCTTTTAGCATTGCTCCGATAACTTACCGGGGGCACCATCGCTTTATTATAACCAACACTACGTTCGAGATCCACACTTCCTATGCTACGGCCTCACCATTCCATGTCGACGGATACCTGTCAGAGAGACTTTTTTCTTAGCTACTTAGGTTCCCCTGGTCATTTTTTCTTTTTTTTTCCATTTTTTTTATTTTATATTATATAAATTTAATTGAAAAAATTAGCGCTCTAAAACAGTCGAGTGCATGCCTCCTTTCATGGCGCATGGCGCTATAGGCCTGCATGTGGTGATCATCTGGTCCTATGGGACTTGAAGTTCCAATTAGTTGCTTTTGGTTTAGTTTATACATATGTTATAGTGTTTTTCTTTAGTTTTTTTTTAGGTTTTCTTCTAGTTAGTTTATAACCTCGCTGAGTGTTGGGATTGTATATATTTACTGACTATGTGGATTACAGTGAGTGTTGGAAATTGACAAGGATTAGAGATGAGATCTCGACTGGCCGTCTTATTTCTGTGCCTTATTTCGAAGGGAACATTGCACAAATATACCTAAATAATTTTGTCTGACGTTTCAGTGGTTGTGTGGAAAATCCCTCCCCGTTTTCACCGGCGTTCCCGTCCACAATATTGCGGTTCTTTTAACTCTCGTAGTCACTCCTTCCCTACGTCCGTTTTTATTAGCAAAATAAAGCTAACCAACAAAAGCATTAGGGCCATGTCGGTTTTCAGCATTAGCTCTTAATTTTATGTTAATTAACGTGTCGGGAGTTAGGGTTTGGTGCCGTGGTCCCCTCACAGGTCGCTACCGCCGCACTGGTCGTCTTTCCGAAAGTCTCACTTTTGTAGGCGTATAGTGTGAGGATAGGGGCAGAGTAAATCTACCAGGAGTTCCAAAGGGTAGCGGTGACTCAAAGATAGAACGGCATATAGAGTCGTCGACGGAGTCTGAGTAGAACTCTGTCCCTGTGGTTTGTCAGAAATACTGACAGACACCCCCTTTTTCGCTGTTGTAGAACGTTGACAAAATTTGAACCGTCTACCCTCAATTCTACTACTCATATCTCCAGGTACTGAATAAAGACGATGTATGTCGCCACTGCGAAATTTTCAACCCGGAAAACAAAATAAGATTAGAGTAAACAGTTTACACAAGAATCAATGCAAAACACAGACTCGTCGGAGTTTCAGTTTGGACAAGTCCTTAAACAAAAAAACAATGAAACACCAAATTACACACAGTTAATTACACACAGTCATACCGAAA